AGTGTTGCTCTCAATCTGCTCACTCCTATGCGATCCAAACCCAGATGATCCGTTGGTGCCAGAAATTGCTAGAATCTACAAAACGGACAGAGAAAAGTACAATGAACTAGCCCGTGAGTGGACGAGGAAGTATGCCATGTGATGAGTCAATTGTGACATCAGCAACACATACACACACACATCGCCACAGCCCGGGCTCGACTCCCTCTCCCTTTCCTTCCCCCATTCCTGTTCCCTAATCCTTGGTTATCCTGATAAAACCTAAATTTACTGGAAATTGTAAAATAATGTTCATGGTCGTTTAGGATCTGCCTAATTTTTGTCGTATTTGATCATTTTTGAATGCGAATTTATTGCATATAAGTAACACAATACCCTTGTGCAAATATAGTTTCTGTTTTTATATAATAAGAAACATTTTCTATAAGAGCAAAATTATTTTTTGTTTTACATTGATGTGTCAGTAGATGTCATTACACTCTTTTAGTTAAAGTTTAAAGATTAGTTAAATTTACATCAATTGAATTTATGTAATTCCTAAACTATTTGTACTTTAACTAGATCTAAATTGCATTGTGAAACTGTACAATAGCCATATCTTAGGAAATGGAGCGTTCCTTGCTAGCTTACAACTTACTAATTGTCTGGTTCACTTAGGAATTTTCTTCATGAAATGTAAGTAAAGCTCATAAGTGTTAAGAACATTTTGGGTAATGTAAGTAAGTGGTATCACAAAATGAGCTCGTTGATGGAGTGAGTGTTAATTTTTTTTACTAGAAAAACAACCTTTTTTAAGTTAGTAAATGTAGCGTGCTACAGACCTGGCTGACATTAATTAAAGTGGTCAGTTTTCTTTCATCCACAATATTTTATAATAATGGAAAACGCTCCAATAGTTACAATATTCAGTATAAATTACAGTGTATCTCATAAGATAATAAGTTACGATTAATCTAGATTTTTTCAATATGGCGATTTATATTATAATTTTATCTAATATATATTGTGGTTGTAAGGATACCTGCGTTGTGATTTCCACGATTGTCCTATCCATGATTCCATCCTTGATTCCTCACAGTAATTCAATAAAGTTATCTACGTGAACACGTTACGGCCCGGCCATGGCACGTGGCGCTAAGCATGGGTGTGTAGACGTAATAGCTGCAGGCAAGAGGAAGCTTTTGTTCACTTGGTTTATCACTGGGAGATTCAAATTTAAGCTTTTCAAATTGTAATCAAACAACAACTTGTATTTTAGCTTCACTAAATTGTAAGAAACAATAAATTATTGTGTATGTAAATAATACTTTGAGCTTTATTTAGGTGACTTCCTTAACACAATACGTCAGCAGCTGTAAAAAATCATTTTGGTTTTAATTGTCTGACATACTTAGTTACTGGGTCAGTGAGAATCTGCCAAATAATTACTATGGTAAGAAATTGAATCTTGATTTCGCAAAAAATTGCATTTTTTCGTAGGTACCGGTTACTCAAACACTTACCTACCTATTCACTTGGAAATTTTAACGTGTGTTGATTAACATTTAAAAAATTCATCACTACAGATTCCTTAGATTATCGCCATGGGATTTTTTTGTAATGCTATGTCTTATTATTTTGATAAAATATTATGTAGGCAGTGAATGTTTTGAAGATAAAGAGACTGCTACGTCGTTGTGGAAACAGATAAGGAGACTTTCATAGCCACTTGTTTACTAATACCAATTAGAATTAAAAGCATTTGGCAAAATAGTATGACTTAGTATTCGTTGAACAGATAATAAATTTATATTATGCTATGGCTAGGAATATGATGTCAGTTTTTCAATCATGGTCTCTGTTACCTGAATAACTTTGTGTTCGACATTAATAGTAATGATGATAAAGTTGTTGCTTTCTCTAACATGTGACGGATATTTATTTTTAAATATTATTTTAGACGACAGAGAGCCGATTGCTGGGGACAATCGATTGAAGGTGCTAAATGTGAGACCTCAATTGACTACTCTGAGACAAGACCTCTACGCGTCCTACACCTTTACGAAAATGCACCAAATGATATACAATAGATTTCTTACTAACGATAGATTTCTTCCTGAGTAAGGTTAAGAGAAATCGATTGACTAATCCTTAACGCTAGTACTTAGTACAGCAGTAGTAGTGCGTGGTTTAAAAATGTCGATATCACTTTACTCTCTTATGAACTATCTTATACCCTTTAATTTTACCTGTCCTAATTATAACTACTAACAAACGTAGGTACATCTGAGATTAGCTATATTATCTAAAGTCATGTGCTGTTATCATCACGAGTGCAGCTGCTGAGAAATGCTCCAATAACCAGATTCGATTAAAATTCGTCAGGCATAAAAAATAATCACACGATGTAGCCTAGGCATAGAGATATAAGCACAAAGACAATATGGGGTACAGCTGCCTGTAAGTGGAAACGGCAGGCAACAAAAGAGATGGATGCCCGAAGGTTCCCTCTGTCTCTGTTTTGCTAAGCTGCTCTGATTGGCTATCGTGAAGTGGGCATGGTTTAGATCGTATAACAGGCGGGAGATAAGAAATTTCCCCAGCCAACCACAGAGCTCGACTAGAAAGAGAGAGGTAACTACCCATTATCCATCTCTCTCGTGGCCTATATTGCAATATTGGGATTCTTGTTCACTATGCTAATATCTCTATGAGCTTAGGTTTATGCCAGCTGTTCAACCAATCACACTTCCTAAATCAAACAAATACGCATGTACCTACTCTAAATAAAGCTAAACTATTTGTTAAAAACAGATGAAATTAAACATTATTACTGCTACTCTAACCCAATCTGCATATTGTAATGTGATATAGGTAACTTCAGGATTAAAAATAAGGTGATCTCTGAAACTAACAGTCACTTGAACTCTATCTATATTAGACTTAGATATTGAAAGATCGTTAAGGGTCGGTTTTTCTGTCCTCAGATAAACAGTCGGAAAGCATATATTCCACGGTTAGCAAAATTTTGGATTTTTCAATGAACAGATAGCTGTCATCTAAAGAATAAAGCCTAAATCTGTTTTGTGGGATGATGAGGAATTTCATTCCAAATTATTAGTAAATGCACTTAACATTACTTGAAATTAAATACTCGTTTTTTTAATGGATTGCATTTTATACAAAAATAACACGAAGAATAAGGTTGTTTCATTATCTGACAGGCAATCTAGAATAATAATATTTCAAACCTCTGACACAAATTAAGTAGAGCTTGTACTATAAAAGTTAGATTGACTGATATCAATGACAAGAAATAGAAAATAATTACTCAATAAATGTTGTCTCATAGCTCGTGATCATTATCTAACCTGTTACTAACTATACAGTAACTAACTTGCGCATGTTAACAGTGAACTTAGCTATGAAAGACCATCAAGTATCTGTCGGTTTACAAACCGAAAAAAAAAACGCTTGATAAACAGCCAGATAAATTTATTCACAGGTTAGGTACCTATCTGACAGTTTAACTAATGATTGAAGAACAAGTCCTTAATCAAATTGACTGGGTCATTACGAATTCGATATACAAATTCAGCAAGAACTAGTAAGAGGATATTACCGGTGGTAGGTAGGTACATAATTTTCCTATATATCAGTGAGATGTTGATAAGAACAGTTCTTTTTTTATTAAAGTTTTTGATGATAGTAAGTTAATTTGTTAGTCTTGATTAGCACGCAAGTTTCGTTGGTGTATTTGCTATATATAATAGTTTCTTCTCACTATTACATTGCGGGTAGGTATCAACCACGGAGCAAATACAGTACCATGAAAATATCCATATTTAAGTGCACAGGACGAACGTTGTATTAACTATAAGCCACGCCCACTGTGATGACGTCAGTACCTAATTAGAATCACAGTGCACAGTAGACATGGAAATTATTGCTACTCTAAAATCATAACCATATAGTCACAAGATTGGCTTTACTCAACGATTTCGCCTGCTATTGTGATTTGGTAATAGATAAAGATAAATGCAATTAAAATTATTTTTATCAAAAATTACGACCTTTTTTTAGATATATACCTTTCGCGAGTCTAGCGCTAGCGTAATAATAATAGTAAGTCGCAGTGGTTTAGTAAATTAGACACAGGTATGATATAGGTTATATGATATAAATCATATGATTCATCACAGGTGATTGTGATTTTATTCCATTCCCAGTGCACAATTGCTTAGGCCTCTCCTCTTTGTATTTGCTCCGCCGACGTTCTCCCCTTAATTGGTTTATATATGAAAAGTTAACTTGTCTATTGAGACGACGACGTCCTTGTCTATTGAGTTGCAGAGTTCCCTGGGTGGTGGTAGTTACTTACTATTATGACCCGTCTGCTTGTTTGCCTCCTATTCCATACAAAAACAGCTTATTGGCAACAACGCGTGAGTGAGTTGTAACCCTAACCTACGTACGCAAAAATCGAATGATAAATCACAGTTCACTGTGATTATATCCCATCTATATTAGAAGCACTTGAGGATGTAAACATTTTTAAAACAGTTAGAATGATTCGACAGATTTCAAAAACTATTATTATTGCTAACTCCTCCAATTTTCTTCTGATTAATTTCGTTGCGGGTTCCAAGACAGTTTAATTTTTTCCTGGGACTTCCCGAGTGTCATAACTCGGTGTGTTCGTGGGTCACTGCTGTGGATCCTGGTGTACAGGAGTTACAGTGGTGGGCGTGTGGGTGGGATTAGTCCCAAAAAAAAAAGTACAGGAAGTACATTATTGGGCTATAGGATAAAATTAATAACACGAAGCGTCGAACAGGTCGCAGCAAACCTATGAATCCTACCTTGAATGCTCTCATTTCAAGTGTATCAAACCCGGCATCACTTATGAAAAACCCTTTACATGATACTGTTTATTACAAATATTATCAGAAAAATAATGTAGGTACATATTTTACAAAGGCACATAGACAATAACGTACACTTAACGAACTAAGTATAGATTACAATTCAGTCGTTTCCATATTCTTAGCGTTTTTCATTTGATCCAACTGTTGGTAAAAGTCGTATTTGGCTTGATTTGTTTGAGTTTCAGTTGATTCGATCGAAGGAAAAGCACCCGTAGTTATGAAGTAAGGTTTTTCATTTGACAAGTCTTGGTCCACGGCATTTTCGTCTAGTGAATCTCGTTCTGAGCGGCTGAGTTGATCCTCTGTTTTGTACCAGTCATTTTCGTAAGCTTGGAGCCATATTGGATTGGAGCCCTTTGAGCAGTGTTTGTTTGTGTTCGGCACTCTACCGCCGGCACTACGAATTGTCATATCTGATTCACCGGGTGTTGGGGACGCTGTAGAGAAAAACAGTGATTTGTAGTCGTCTCTAAAGATCAATGTAATACTTAAAAAAATAGTCTCTTTAAAGTAAAATCTGTGTCCAACGTTTTACGATATAAGTAGGTTATCAGGAGTTAAAAATAACTCGTTGAATACATCCTCGCTCGCCTTCAATTCTCTGCTATCAGTTAATCGAAACACAACTTACATACATATGTATATTACGTTCCAAAATCAAATAAAGAATTTCTATTACTGAACTAAAAAGGGGAAATTTCGAAAATGCGAATCGCTTTGTCTTGCTAAATAGCGAATCGGTAATTTTAGATCCGTATCTTATGTATAGGTATTATACTTTCAAATTGGACACAATATGTACTCGCATAATCAATGTTTATCTGAAATTAACATTTAAGATTTCATGTGCCAGATCGGTTGGCCAAAATTTGAAAGTAAAGTAGTTTCTTTAGAAGAAACTTTTGAATAATTTATTTCTTACAATAGGCTGTTGCAGTGGCCGCTTTTAGCCTTCGTACGTAGTCCGCTCGCTGTGAGAGACACATCATTACGGTAAGGACTAGCAAAACCGACAGGAAAAGTGTTGTCCATACGAGCCAGAATACTGTTTGGTTTGATGACAATGTCTCCGCAGTAAGGGGCTGGTATTCCGCTGGTTGAGTATCAAGGACATTGAACTCCTAAAATAAAAATACGCATTAGGTTGGGTCTAAATAATACATTCCTATTTATTCGAATTTATAATAACTATTAGACGAATAAACATTATGCCTTATAACTTTATGCCAATCAAAATTAGGGCAAAAAAACATCAGCCTTAATTTATGCCTTTGCATTAAACTTATGCCTACTGAAATAGAAAGCCAAAAAGAAATAATGTCTAAGTATTATTTTAACAAAAAAAAAAATGCCTAATTCGTTATGCCAAATTAAACAAGGACAAAAAAAATAGTCGAAACAAAGGGGTCCCACATAATACATGTAGCTTCCAAACCTTTTTCGGGATAAATCGTCATGATCGTAGATTCGAATAATGTCGGTTTTAAAAAAAAAAACGCAATTCAGTTTTTACCATATTTGGATAGATAGATAGATAACTCTTTAGAAAAACTACATTGTACATTGATACAACATTGGATACTACATTGTCTAATAGTAATAGTAATATTATTACTACATTCAAGAAAAATTCAATGTATTTTAGATTTTAAATTATTCAGTGTTTGATAGGCGCTATTATTATTTATATATTCGAAGTAAAATGAAACATGTGATTTTTTTAGAAAATTGTATAATTATTAGTTGTTATTTTTATTGCATTTTAAAACACCTATTTTTAACTTGTATGCTAATTTTCATAATTACAGATTTAGAATTAAACAAGTTATGGCAAAAAATAACATAATTATTTGAAATGGCTGCCCTATAAAGTTTAATAAATGTCAGATCCACGCTTCTACGACTATGAGGAAATAGTCTATGTTGAAAATTTATTTATAAAGCTAGGTTGAATATTAAAAATAAATTAAAAGAGGTAAAACAAAAAGTATTTATATAGAAAGTAAGGATAATTCGGCACAACAATATTAATCCATGGCTACACGTTTACCTTAAAGAGTTCATCCAAATATTCTATATTCTGATCAACCAGTTTCAACACTTGCTCAACATCGAGCACGGAATGATCTTCTCTGTTCACAAGGTGCAGATACAGATCCGTCTTCGTATTATCCACCGAGCCGTCCTTGTTCTCATGTACTCTTAAATCATCTATATTGACGACCGAGTTGGTCACTCGCGCCAAATGTTCGCGGAACACGGATATTTTGTCTCGTATTTCAGAAGGATGGGCGCGTAGAACAAATCGCACTCGTTGGTCTTCGCGGAGTAGGTATATGAATACATGTGCTTCGTCGTACAGACCGTCTGTGTCGTTGGCTAACACCTGGAAAATGTGGTCTGATACATAAAAGCAGATCTTGAATATTATTAAGTCGTGCCACAGCAGAAGGCTGAGGAATTATTGGCGATAAACAGTAGTGGTGTTTTGTTTTTATAGGTACCAAGAGTCGTTTACCACAAGCCGTGTCCATGTGCCTATTTATCAAATCAGTTGTGACCCTGAATACTAAGTCAGAGGTTGTGGGTTCGATTCCCACCCAGGACAAATAATTGTGTCATAAGCACCAATTTTTATTTAAATACTTATAATCACCAAGAGCATTTTTTATCGATTGCTAAGAGATTGAGATGAGAACCGCTATTTTTTAGGTCCGTTGAGATTATTTTTTGTAAGAAAGAGGTAAGTTCTGTGTAAAAGCAAAAGTTCCTGGAGTTCATCGTCATGGTAAGAGTAAAAACTTACTTTAAAATCAAAATACCCTTTCATTCCTTTTTGTGGGTCAAAATTTAAAGAAACTGCTCCCGTTTCCATGTTTACGAGAAAGGGTGATACAGCTAAGTTCTCTAGCCCTTCTGTCAAAGTTTCTTTCACATCCCCGATAAGAAAATAACTTATTTTAGCATTTTCACCTTCATCTAAATCTATGGCCTGAAAAACAAATTAAAATTTTAAACAACATATTTTTAAAAGCTGAACGCGTTGAGGAGTAATGACGTCATAGCGTATTTTGATGTCATAGTGTACTGCCACTGAGCTATTGTTTTTGATCTATAAACAGAGTGGAAACAAAGGGAAATGATCTGCATAGGACATTTTCGTTAATTACAAATCAGTCAGATTTCAAATAGGCAAGTAAAATGACAGCTGTCTATTTATACAGGGTTCCAGAAAAGAAAATATTTTATGATTTTTTATTCGCTCGTTTATCGTTTAAATCAAATTTAGATAGCACTGCCAAACCATAGAGCAACACAGGCCTCCGGCGGACCGGAGGGGAGTAGCCTTAGCGTCTTTTCTTAGAGATTATAATAAGGCTGACAAGAGAGACAAAAAAAAAATACCTTAACATGCATAAATTCGATCCCAAAATCAGCTTCAGTGGTTATTCCACCAGTGAATATCTTGCTCACAAACGTCGGCGCATTATCATTAATATCATTTACTGCAATATGCACTTTCAAACTACTGATCCCGTCCAGTTCTTCTTGGTACTTTGGCACTGTGATACAGTCTTCTGAGGCTAATACTGTGAGGATATACGCCGATTTTTCTTCTCTGTCTAAGAGCTTTAGTGTCGACAGTCTAAAACAAATTCCAATATTTTTTTCTTATCCAAGATGTTTTTACCAACGAATTAGGACTTTTAAGGTATGAAATGCATTGCCACTTAAGTACCGTAACTAATTAACTCAAGTATGTTAGAGTAAAAAAAACGTGTAGAAGAGAAACGTGTAGAGAAAGAAAGGTTATTAATACGATTTCTACTGAAACACGAACTACTTTCAAGAAAGAAATGTTCTGAATTCTTCTAATGACACACGATTTAGATGTTAGGTTAGAGGTCGGATTTTCTGACAAGTTTAAGTTACAGGTATGCGATCTGACCTGCTCGAATTATTGCTTTCATTCTCCAATCCATTAGTATAAGCGATATCTTTTTATCCCATTTCTTTCGTTCTACTCTCAATTTTCTCAACTAACTCCTAAATCTGGGTACTCTTGGGATATAAACGTGAGTGTATAGGACTTCCACAATCTCCTCTTTTGAACACTATTGGTTTGCATTATTAATTAATAAACAGACTATATCAGTAGCGAGTGAAGTAATAGTAAAAAAAACATACCTATGAGTATTCTTCTGCAGTTCAAATATATTATCTACATCGCCGTCCACTATATAATAGCAGACTGGCAACACTGGTTCATCACCCACGTCAATCTCATCCCTTTCAATGACAGTGGGTAAAAATATGCTATTAATGTCAGCGTTCTCAGTGAAGTTAATATATATATGTTTATTGGGGAACCGTGGGCGATAATTGTCAACGTTTTGAACGTATATAGTGAGGTCTAAGTCTGAGCTCAGAGGAGTGGGCAAACCGAGGTCATAGGCTTCTATGCGTAGCTGAAAAAAATTGTAGTAGTTCAATATCAAGGTGAAAGCTTTGTGTAATTACTATTGATCGTTTTAGCGGTGACGACGTCAGGCTGATGTATGTGGCTGTGTGTTGTTCTGTCGCTTCAGTAGATGACCCGGCGCATCTTTTACATCTATTTATCTAATATTTGAAAACCGGCAAATATGTCACTTCTTTGTCATAGTAATTTTTTTTGCATTTTTTAAATTTAAATACTTCGTTACAGTTTCAAAATCTTTATGTAATAGGTTCTTAAATTTGAAAGGACCCAAGTGTATCGTATTGACGCGACGGGACGAATCACGAATCACCGAATGTTTGACAGGCAGGCAAAATTTGTATGGGAAAATAAAAATTGTAGTTTTTACTATTTTCGTAGCAATTTTTTCCCTTTAAACTTAGTCTGGACTTTCATAAATATTTCAAGATAAAAATTCAAACCTAAACTAACGAACAGCAATTCTTTTATGTATATTATAGTAAAGTAATGTATAAAAATTTAATAAATGCAAATGTTAGTTTATTGTGTTTGTTACGATTTCGTGCTTTAACTATTCAACCGATCATCATGCAAAGTGGAAAAGAGTATCAATAGAGTAGCTTTCGCAACAAACAAAACATATCATGGAAGACTTCTCCTTCTAAAAAGCTGTAGTTATAGGATGTCAGTACGGTATGTAGTACCTGGTAGGTGGTCTGCTTGTCGCGGTCGAGCGGCGCCGCGGTCCGCAGCGCGCCGCTGGTGGCGTGCACGCTGAAGGCGCGCCACGCGCCGCCCGCGTCGCGCCGCACGCGGTACCGCACCGCGCCGTTCGGCCCGATGTCCGCGTCGATCGCGCGGACCTCCACCACGCGGGATCCTACCGTCGCGTTCTACGAACACTTCAGGTGTAAGGAGATACTATTCAAAATCTCAAAGTGTGCGATGCACACCCTCATTTGAGAAATCGGACTCATCATGCGGACAAAAGGTATCTATCAAAAATTAAAAATTCAATGAAACGCTTAATAATTTTGCTCTCGTTCGTTTCTCATAACTACAAAATTAGTCCACAACCCTCTTATAATAAATTAATATTCCTTATAGCACAGGTCAGGTCTTTTAGGTAAATCAGAAATATCAAAAATATCAGACCGCGACTGTTTATACTACATAACACAAACAGTCGCGTTTTTGGCAGTGTATTAATTTTTTTGTTTTTGTCATTTCACAGTGTTAAATTTAAGCTAAAATGTGCTAACTTAACTTGACTAGTTATAATCAAATGTTAACTATGTATTATCCTTTTGTGTAAACAAAGTTATTTTTAAATAAATTTATATTTCCACTCACCTCTGGCACTTTAATAGTTACATTTTGCGGCGGATGTACGAACACAGGCGCATGATCGTTATAGTCTGTTACACACAGTCGCAGTTCTCCTCTCACGGCGTTGGGCGGTATGCCCAAGTCACGAGCTTCGACTAGCAGTGAGTAGTTGCCGAAACGGTCCTTGAGCGATTGTTTGGCGAACAGGCGACCAGTATTTGCGTCACCACCGACTTGTTCGAAGCGAAACAGATCTGTTGGGTATTGTTTGTATTGCTTATCTCTTATGTGTAAGCATTATGTGCTTATCTCTTATGTAAGCGTTTTTAAGAAAATTTTACAAATGGGGGAACGTGAATTATACCTAATATTAAAAATAAAAAAAACTAACATGGGTGACCGATATGTTACAAACTTCAAAATTACGTTATATTATACTACATGCATAAAAATATATGTAAGTTCAAGTTATACTAATCAAAAATTAAAATGTGTGAATTATGAAGTTTGAGACCTTTTCCCGGCTTAACTACTCAATATTGTGACGAACATCGCGAAAATTCGATTAAATTAGATTCTTTCGGAATCTTTTAATTATAATAATAATCGCAGTTTGGCACGGAACAATAAGTTTTATACGTTTTACATTCGAAACGATTTTGTATTTCTTAGAGTGGACGATTCTCGTAGGAATTGGAAATTGCTGGAATGTTCCTTTACGAGTATTATAAATATGGACACGTCTTCGTTTGAGTCAGTTCGAGCTACAGTGCAATAAACATCGAACTGATTGCAGTGAATAGAAGCGTGACCCAGCGACCTCGGCGATCATTCCGGAATATTCTTCAGTGTTGTTGAACGTTTTTAAGTGTAGTGATAATAAAGTCTCTTTAGTTGTCAGAAGACTTATCATTCCGAATCAACGAACCCTACCCGTAACAATATGTTCATCAATGAAATTTTTCAAACATGTCGTCAAAACTACTCTAAATGACAGAGAAATTTTCACCCTCAAAAAATTACTTTACATAAATTTTACCCAAAGCGGCGGACAAAAGTAAGTATATTTCTTCATTTAAAATTTACCTGAACTTCGAAATACCCACATGCATGTTCAAAATTAGTAATAACACACATGAATTTGCAATAATATGTTTTAATCAATATTATGATTGGCCCGAACTAAACTCTTCACCAATCACAACGCCAAACGAGGTCACCGTGACGATCGAGTCCATGTGGAATAAACTTATACTAGGCCTACAGATTTAGGTAACATCTCACCATGTCCTTTCCCCCCAACCAAATGAAACTGCACCCGTCCATTCGGCGCGCTGTTGTCGTCCGCATCAGTGGCCGACACCGACACGATGGGTTCGCGGTAGTTGTGGAACTCAGTAATTGTGGTGCATTCTGACGGTACGTGCAGAATTGGAGGGTTATCGTTCACGTCTTCGATGTGTACGCTAGAATAGTTGGTAGGTTACAGAAGGTGTAAAAGGCAACTGTTCTGTGTATGTAACACTAAGTAATAATAGACTTTCAATTTAAGTTAGCGTAGTTATGTTAATGATACGTTTCTTAATTCTGATTATTGCTCTTGATCAACGAGAAAAATTAAGATATAATATAATAATAATAATAGTAAGTACAAGCTCTGTATATTAGAAAAATGGCATCGATCACTTTTAATACAAAAAGATTCCTTACTATCTCGGTTATTTTGCAATGGTACAATATATTTATTATTATATAATTGCTATAGTAATTACACAACATTTTTACATAACTATACTTTGAGTTTGTTTTTCGTCCATTACATAATGGTTATTTGTAATTTCTTACTCCTTTTACTTTTTGAGATTCATATAAGTGTTGCAAGCTTAGTAAATAAGTGAGGCAACACTGTATGTTTCTTTTGCTTCTTTGTTCTATAAAAAAGTGGGGCTTACACAATTTGTTTGAAAGCATTGCGACTCTCGCCACTGAGATATCCAAACTGGTAGTTGTCCCATGCTTCTATTACCAAGTTGTATGTCGCTTGTGTTTCTCTGTCCAGCCAATCTGACACTGTCAACGCTCCTGTATCAGCGTTTATTAGAAATTTACCCTGAAACATTGGATTCTATGAATATTTAATTAACAAGTGAAATGACATTTAGGAGTAAATATTTTTTTTATCACGACATGGGATAGCAAACGACGGGTTACATGATGGTAAGTAACTAACTAGGAGGTCCAAACCCGCCCTCCATGATTCAGGGGAGGGAGTCTAAGCTCCGATAATTTCACTCACTCAGTGAAAAGCAACGAACGAACTGCTTAACACTTAATTTCTGCAAAGCCGTGGTTTCACTCCGGTCGATCCTGGCCCATACCTACGGAAGCATAGCTCTCCCACTATTAAATATAATATACGAGGACATGTGTGGGAATTCTTATGAATTACTTTAGATGGCATAAAAATCAACATCATATGAATATCGGTATAACGTACTTCAGTTGGTCGAAGCATCGTGACGATTAGGCGCTATCACTTGGATGGGTCCTGTTTTCAATATTTGTTCTTTGTGAATGATTTCGAATATTTGAAGTATACACAATATTCGAAAATAGAACTCTGGCTAGCTACTTATCATAGGACCTCGTGAAAGTCTATACGTGTTACTATGTAGTATACCGTACTTTTAGTGTTAAAGAAGCATCTATACTATGATTACCGGATTAAATAAGCTCATTTGTTTATTACCTGTGTGGACATACGATCGAGTAGATACGTTATCTTTCCATATTCTCCGGAATCAGCGTCCTTTGCCACTATATTGGCAACCGTTGTCCCTGGTTCTACATCTTCAAGTATTCGGTACTCGAATGCGGATGATTCAAATATAGGGTTGTTGTCGTTCTCATCTAATACCTTGAATAATAGATGTCATTTTACGGTGGTAGCGAAGTTAAAATATTAGCCTGGCGCAGTTAGATGGTTGCATAATACATTATACACACATTCTTATTTGTAATGTATCGACAAGGGCTTGTCTCCTATTACGTAAAGAGGACTAAAATTACAGTTGTCAAAATGTGGGCGTTTATTACTGCTCTATTTACCCATCATCATCACTGCTGGACATAAGCCTCTCCTTAGAAAGGAGGTTTTGGCCTACTGTACCACGCTGGCCAGACGGGTTGGTATAGTTTTTGTTTAAAGTTTTCCTTCTCTATGCAGTCAACAGCACTGCCTAGTTTGATCCCTTAGTCGGCTTTCACGACCCACACGGGATGAATGGGGGTGGTAACACTCTGTATTTTTAATCCGTCACCACGCGAACAACCCTGTTCTGTTCACCCATTCGGCTATAAAAGGAGTGTATAGTAATTATGGTCTTATATGTATATAAATAGGATCTCTACAGATTATTTATAATTAAATTATAAAGGTTATTAGTGACGCTTCAGAACGTCCGAATTCACGTTAAGGACGTTATGGATGAAAAGATCGTCTGTTGTAATCGCATTAAAATCGTTTTCGTGCTCCAGGGCAATGATTTCTTTGTTTTCGGTTACAACATTTTTGAATGAGCAGTGCCAGGATGACGGAAGACTCGTGAAATAAGGAACAAGTAACTGGGGTCTATATTGGCTCACATAAAAATCTTATTCCTATTTTTTATTTTAATAACGATTTCTGTTCATAATAATCACTCTTCATATATTTTTTTGTTCATAAATATCTACTACTACGCTATCTCTCGCTATCGCTGTATTACTGATCTCCTTTTAATTTTTTTCATTGCAGGTACACAAAACTATAAACAAAGTGAAGGATCACGATTTAAATACGACTTAATTATGATTAAGAAATATATGAAACCAAATATTATTTAAAACAAATTTATGAAAATTGGCGTTGTGTATCTGAATAATTTGGAGTTTTGATCGTTAGTACCTACAAGAAAATATAGGAAAACAAATATTAATATAAACCAGGTATATGATTCGTGATTTTATGAATTTTGATGATTATTAATAGTCGATCGTTGGTATAAAATATTTATATGAAGAGTGACAGGACAGGACAACAGGATGACGAGAAATATTGTAGACGAATCGGTAATATATTATGCATTATAATGCTTTTTCCTTGTATTGCGTGTCTATATGTGTGTTCGGAAAAACAAGTAAACAAAGAGATACCTATGATTTATTTAGGTATTGTATTGTTATGTGTGACGTCCTATTACTTTGTTATTTATGTTATATATATTAGTATATGTTGTGATTCGAAATGACGTTATTTGAGAAATAAAAGCAAGTCAGTCTATATTAATAAATGAAGAAAATTCTTTGTACCTCTTTTTGAACAAATATGACGCATGGAAGTAAAAAATCGAAGTTCAACCGTATCATAGACTTAAAGCCGACCCCTAGATTGGGAAAAGGCTCGGAGACAAATAACACAGGAGTACATTATGCTTGGAATCTCAATCGTTCAATCTTTAAAATACAACTCCGCACTAGGAATAAATCCTGTGTCACGGGGGACTTTACAAACATACATAAAACCGATACAAAGAACACCCAGACTCCGAACAACAATTTGTGGCACACAAAGTGTTGTCTCATGTGGGGATCGAACCCACAACACTAAGCGCAGTAGAAAGCAACGAGGTGACCGCTTAAACCACTACGCCCTCCGTGCAGTCAAATGAATAGAATAGTCAAAGAATACTTAATGCTTATATGAAGAAGAAGCGAATAAACCTAAAAATGTTATACATAGTGTGCTATAAAGTTAAAAATATATAAACAGCTACATAAAGTCGTGATTGCCTATAACTGTATGAGCACAAGGCATCTTTTTGTATAATTTTTAATTATTGCAGAAATGTGTATCGTTTGTTCGCGATCCAAATAAATAAATAAAACTACACGAGTATATATTTTGACCTGTCATGGTATAAAAGTCAATACAATGACAGTTCAAGTTATACTAGTCAGAGAAATTTAACAAGACTTTCCGAACAGTCGAAATTCGACCGCCAGACGATCTCTAGTATAAGTAATTCTGTCTGTGTAAAGTCTGTGAAACATTAATCTCATTAACGTCGATAAAACACAAGGCATACACATAATTGTAAGGTCAATAAACTAAATAATGAAATAAGCATTTTTAAGCCATTACATAAGTTATTTTTGGGACCAATGAAATAAATAAGCAATTACCTGTATAATTAAGTCCACAACTGAATACCTGGGTGGCACTCCGCTGTCAACTCCTTTTACAGTGAGGTTGATCCAAGGGTACAGTTCGTGGTCAATCTTGCTAGCGACGACCACTTCGCCTGTGGTACTTTCCAGATGCACTAGGCTCAAGAGCTCCTCACGACCTGATGGAAAAACCAATGAATTAGGTACTCATCCCTCTACTTTTTTAATGGGACTAACCCCTCGCACACGCCCACCACTGTAACATCTGTACACCAGGATCAACAGCAGTAACCGACGAACATACTTACGGAGTTATGAAACTCGTTCAGTCCCAGGAAAAATTAAACTGTCTTGGAACCCGCAACGATATTAATCAAAAGAAAAATTGTTGGAGTTGGAAATATAATAAATCCAATTAATGTCTTGTTAGCAAATCGGGAGACAAAATGGAGTATAAACAGTTAAATTAGGTAATATTGAAGATAACAATTAAAGATTGAATCTTGGTAATTTAGTTCTTATCATTGTGTGACGGGCCTGTTGGTCCAGTTAGTGACCCCTCACTGCTAAGCCGGAGGTCTTGGGTTCGATTCCCACCCAGGACAAGTTCAAATGTAATAAATAAATAAATACACTGTAAACCATGTAAAAAAAACCTATTGACATGTTAAAAAGTGGTTCTGTTAGAGATTTGGATTTGGAACTGGCTGATGCTAGTTGGAGAACATGTTCGAGCTTGCTTACACTCTCCTATTCATCTGTTTAAGCAATATTTCCTCTGATTTTAGTATATATAGGCAATAGGCTTACCACAATTGCTTACTAAGAATAAAGAGTCAGAAAATTTAACCTACGTTTTGCCGACTATTTTAGTTTAATTATGGTATTTCTGTCTACCCCTTTGGGGATATAGGCATGAGTTTATGTTACAAATATATTGACATAATCCCATCATTCTTTACGTAATAAGATGTTTAGACTAGACTTGCAACGAATAGTATATTCGGCAGTATACCGAATACCGAATATTCGGCGAGGCCCCTGACCGAATAGCCGAATATTAGGCAAAAGTATTCGGCTGGATATTAGCGCCAAAAACTTGTACAGACGTGAATTAAATTATGTACCTGTTTTATGTACCAATGACTACTTAATAAATGATTATAAAAGAAATGAGAACCTTACCATTCCACCACAATAATTCAAATACATAGAATCCTCCATTTTTCCAATTCAGAAGATGATTATGTACCTGTGTTATGCACCAATGACTACTTAAATGATTATAACAGAAATGAAAATATGAATATATACGTAATCAATCGATTTTAATTTTTCATTTTACCAATTATTTCTCAATGACAAAATATATTATTTAAGTATTCGGTATTCGGCCGAATAATATGTAGATATTCGGTATTCGGCCGAATATAATAAAAGCAGCCGAATATGCCGAATACCGAATAGTAACCGAATATTCGTTGCAAGTCTAGTTTAGACACGTTTGTGATAAAGACGGAGCAATAGCTAGTAGAAGTAATACGGCTGAATTGCATTTAGAACAGTTTGCATCAGGTTTATCTATTACTGGTACTGTATAACAGTTATTGTACGTATACTGTTTGTCTTTAATATACAAATTTAATTAAAGTTTACCGATTTTAATTATAACTTTAGATTTCAATTCGATTGTTTTAAGTGGTGTCATCTTTACCTTGACTTAAATGATTAACGTATTTTTACTTTGTAAAGATACAGCGGCCGGCTGTAAAGTTTTTTTAAGTTTGTTATTTATATATTTTTTCAAGTATTTCCATTTCTTTTTCCTACGAATAGAATGTGTCCTATTTCGATTATTACTCAAACAAAATTTTCAAATATCTCTTCTAATGTCTTCTCTTGATCTTGAGTTATTCTTTTGCTAATTATATTTAAATATAAAAGTGATGTGTTTTTTAACGATTTAAAGTAATAAAGTTCAAACTGTTGATGATACAAAGGCCCAAGTGCGAGTTTATTTCACATAATCGTACGTAATCGTCACGGTGACCACCTTCACTGCAATCTTCACCAATGGTAACGCCGAACGCGCCTGTTGTTGAGAGCGAGTCGATGTGAAATAAATCCGCACTTGGATCTACAGTTGCAGATATACCACGATGTCAGAAGTCGTGATATTTTGCGTTACAGCATCAAAACTTTGTGTAGCAAATGCCCCCTTCTCCATCATTGCTGGATGTTAGACAAAATGTTTTGGTGAACGTGTTAGTTTGCATACGCAGTGAAATTACGCGATTGGTTATTAATTGTAAGATTAGAGATTCCTTCAGGTTTTAATACAGTAAGGATAATATAGTTTGAATTTTTCTTGTCTCTAATTCTTAGAACTAGTATTTTTAACCGTATGACCATTTATCAGCAGTCATATTATAAATGAGAGGAGGAGGAACGGAGGAGTCTCCCGACTAAGGGAGCAAACCGAAGTACGAGAACAGCAAAGAGAAGAAAAATTTGACACAAACCCTTTACCAACCCGTCTGCTCAGCGTGTTATACTAGACCAAACTTCCTTTCTAAGGAGAGGCCTATATCCAGCAGTGGACTATTAAAGGCTGTCGCTGCGATGTGATATTATAAATGCGAATGTTTTGGGCTCTATATTTTTAATACATTTTTTATTTATTTAATGTAATGCTTGTTAAGTTTTAACGCCTTTACTATATACTTTAGGTAGTATAGTTCATCATGAAGGTTTGAAGAACCTTCATGTTGAACGATACTACTTGAATTGTTCTTCTGTACACCTTTGCCACGTGTATGTTACAAGTGGCAAAGGTGTACAGAAGAATAATATGAAAGAATGTAATTTCAAATATTTTACATTGTTAACAAATAAATCGTGCATGATGTGCTTACCCATAAGAAATTGTTACAATATATGTTATAAGTATATTGAATGTATCTAATGTCTTTGTATAAGTGTATACAATTGTTGGTGAGCCAAATAAAAAAAAGAAGAAATATTGTGACTTTAATCGGATGTTTGAGCGTTTGTTTGCCCTTTCTTCTCATAAGGCTCAACCCCTTGCAAACGGGCGGTTGTAGATCGGCACACATATGATTAACTTCATTTTCCTAAACATTTGATAAAACAGATTGTTGTTATTGTGCTTAAGACGATTTTAAACAATTTTTTAAAACAAATTATGAAATAAAGATATTTTGAGTTTGAGTTTAGCCAATCGCAACACGGAACGCGGTCATCGCGACGATCGAGCATTTGTGAAATAAACTCGTACTAACAGTCATTATATTTTTTTTAATATGTGTTAAATTTTATAGCATTATCATCATCATCAACAGCCTTTACCAGGCCACTGCTGGATATAGGCCTCTCCTTAGAAAGGAGGTTTTGGCCTACTATACCACGCTGGTCAGTCAGGATGGTATGGGGGTTGTGTTAAGTTTTACTTCTCTCTGCAGTGCTGTTGTCTTGCGTATTTTACTCCCTTAGTCACCTCTTACGATACCCACGGGATGAATTGGGGTGGTGACACTCTGTATTCTTAATCCGTCACCACACGGACTGAAATTTATATCAATTGTTTTTAAGTTTGTGTTGTGATCAAATTCAATAGTTCACCATGTGTATAAAGCATCGTATTATAGCGTGAATGAATAGTATTAATGTAAAAAAAAAAACACTCAAAACTAGTTTTTATTCAGGTATTACCTTGGCGGTTTTTCCTGCTGTTACCTGCAGTGAAAATAATGGTTAACCTTGTATACATTTGTTACATGTATTAGGGCCTGAATTATATTGTTGCAAGTCGGAGGTTGTGATTAGATCAATACATCAATTTAAACACGAAATACACAATTTATTTAAATAATTGCAATTAATACAGTAATCTACTTTAAACAGTTCTTATTAATATTCATTTTTAGGTACTGTTTGCTGCACTTAGCACTTATAGAACTAGAATGTGTGACTCGGTGTAGATACACCGAGTCCGAAGAAAATTGCAGAAGGTTCGTGAACAATTCCAGAATAACACGACTGGCTGGAAACATAGAAAATCGTAGACCATTCTGGAATATTCGATTTCTTTCTGGAACATTCGATTAGTTGAACGTGTCTTAATATAGAGCGTCGTAACAATAATTAATGGAGAAATTATGTACCATTTAGTACTATTCAAAACTTAAACACAACCATCCTTTTGTAACTTAAACACAGAAGTGTGTTTAAGTTACAAAAGATGACAAGCACATACAAGTCGATTGCATATTACGCAACTAAGTCTAACTAACTAATTAAAAATAATACTTAAAAATATAAAACTTACCTTCAATAAAATATGTCATGGTTCTATTTTTATCAGCATCATCAGCGATTACAGTAGCAATATTGACGCCAGTTTTAGAGTTTTCGGTGATTGAAGTTTTGTAGAATGGCTTTCTAAACACCGGATTGTTGTCGTTCTCATCGTCTATGGTTATCGTCAGAGTGGCCGAAGCCGTCTGACGAGGACCACCTTCTATAGCAGCCATATCTTCTACAGTTATAATAAGCTTTATAGTCTCTATTTTTTCTCGATCCAGTAGCCTGTAAAAATATAAATTAAATAATTAAATGAAACAGTCTATATTTCGGCGTATTTTCTAAAAAAGTACACATGAATTCAAAAGAAAAATCGTTTACCTGACTACCCTCAAAGTCCCATCCACCGCATTTAGATCCCATAACGAGAGATAATCAAAGTCCGATAACAATATAGGTATTCCATCCTCATTCCTAGCGGAACTACCAGTTTTGTCGATCGAATACCGCAGTACCGGTTGATCGTCGGGATCGTGAGCTTCAGCGCGATATATTTGAGTTCCTACCTGAGAAAAAGTAATATGATTCATTCAAAGATGTACTTATAAAGATTTAAGAAAATTTTAGATATGTAATATCCCTCCGTCAGATGTTACAGATTATATATTACTATGTTACTTCTACAAGCGGCTGTACACATAGGGCCAAGGTCCTGGCCACCATATTGGGCCAACATGAACAGTTCCACTTGGCGGTATGTTGTTAGTTGGCAACAACACTGGCCAGCGAACCGATTAGTGTCGGTTTTCCGAGCACACATCAAAGGATCTGCACGAATGGCGTAGTGGTGTAATCGGTCTTCTCGCCACTTTCTACTGCCCTGAGTGTTGTGAGTTCAATCCCCACGTAGGACAACACTTTGTGTGATCCATAAAATGTTATTCTGAGCCTGGGTGTTCTTTGTGTCTATTTTATGTTTATTAAGTCCCCACAATACCTGTGTCCACGGTGATTCCACATCCATCTTTATCAAAGCGCCAAAACAAAATGATCAGTACGCTAATGTGTAAAGAAAACTTGGGTTTACTTTGTGTCCGTTTCATGTATGTTTGTAAAGTCCCCCGCGACACAGGATTTATTCCTAGTGTGGAGATGTATTTAAAAAAAAAAAGACCAAGTTCTTAGCCCAACATACTGGCCCAGCACCTTGGCCCAATGTGTACAGCAGTTAAGTATACATACAAAAGTTGAATAAACTACTTAATGTTGTAAACATTCGTTTTAGACCGATTTCAAAAAAGTAGGAGGTTCTCTATTCGGTGGCATATTTTTTAGTTATCTCCGTTAAGTTTGTTACCTCCGAACTCTATCATTAATAAACTGATTTGGAAAAAACATTTGGGGCGAGTATACGACCATTTTGGTCCAATTCAAAGGAGAGAGATCGGCGAGTTTCCTTAGAACTCTGGGCCTAAGCGTTACACTGATGATGTCTAGCCAGTTTTGTAGCTCAAAATACGCCAATTATAGGGGTATTAAAATTATAGACCTGATTTACGGGATAGCACAGATATTGGGAATCATTAAACTAAAAGTTAGATTATTGTTTGGAGTACTTGTTAAAAAAAACTTTATTGATTTTGAATATAGACCGATTCCTGTAACGGTTACGCCCAATTTCCCCAATTTCCTTTAAAGAAAATAATTAAGGAATTAATAGTGTATAGTTTATCTGCGATACTTTAAAAAAGTTAATTATTTTATAATTCTCGTTATAACAGGACAATTACTGTGCTAACTTAGTTATGACTAAACTCCTAAATTTTCATTGCAGCTTCTATTACTATTGCTCCTACTGAATGTTTCCCGAGTTACTTCCCGCTGTTGTGTTGTTACTTACCTGTGTATTTTCTCTGACAGTGACAGTTCCAGGCTCAACAAGAACTGGTGGTTTGTTGTTTACATCAACTATGGTAATATTTACTAGAACTGCAGCACTTAGTTGTTGATCACCGATACCGCCATCTAGCGCCACCTAAAACATTTGGGAGTTTTGTACTCGTTGGGTACACAACGGAAGAAAAAAAAGGTGGAGAAAAACGAGAAATGTTTTACATAAAAGAATTTAAAGAGGGTGCCAGACGACGGACGGCGCAATCGAGGCCGGTCTAGAAAAAGGTGACATAATGAGCTTTGAGGATTTGTTCCAAAGATTGGGAGGAAGCCTTTGCCCATCAGTGGGACAGTTTGGGCTACAAAGATCGGTTGCACTACGTACCACAGTGAGTGTGTATTTGTTGCTCTTGGGTGTAGTCTTGTCAGGGTCGAGCTGCGAGCCGTTGGCGACGGACACGACGCCGGTGCGCGACTCGATCACGAACTTATCGCTGGCGCCGCGCTGTATGCGGTACACCACGCGGTTGTTCGGAGATGAGCCATCTGCGTCACGGGCTTTTACCTGTCGAAGTAATATTAGAAATTAAGGTACTTCAACTTTGAGGCGGCGGTATATGCAATACGGTACTTTATCAACTCAACTCCTCTTTATTCAAAACTTTATGTTCTATATGTCATTATGAAATAATGGGTAATGACGACATATCAAGCCATTATCAATTGTAATTCATACTAATATTATAAATGCGAAAGTGTGTCTCTGTTGTTAAAATCGATTAAGTGGTTTAGGCTGAAAGCGTAACAAACACTAGCATTCTATAAAATCTTAATTCGAAACATATTAATTTTAGCGTGATGATGACTAGTCAGTAAATGAATAAGCCACTACAATGTCTTTTTTATCAATAGGTAAGTAGATAACGTAGTTCTAGACCAATGAAAAATTAAAAATAGCGTAAATGTGTAACGTCATGCTGCTCTGACGTCTATCACTTGTGTCTTTGACCTGCTGAAATAGTTTCAATAGTAGTTCGAATTACTATTCATTGTAGTCTATGTATTTTGACGTCACACCTTGACCAATGGGAGTACCGTAATCTCTAACACTAACCTAATAACGGTATTCTAAGTCCGTCCGTCTTTTCTTTTGTTATTTTTATTTTATACAACAAGTTCGGAGTCTTTAAAATACAATACAAGGTATCCAACAAAAGACGGAAAATACAACCATTGGTAGTTGGTACTTAAAAAAACAGTATCGTTTTACTAGGACTTTGGACAGTCTCAAGAGTATCGTTTAACTAGGCTTTGGACGGTCTCACAGTAAAACACTTTCCTTCTCTTTGCAGTATATCTGTCCTGCATAGTTTGCTCCCTTAGTCGGGTCTTACGACATCTACGGGATGAATAGAGGTGATGAAACTCCGTATTTTAATCCCACCACACGGATCAGTCACACTAGTGAACGTATATTATCCTTTAAACGTCAATACAATGTGTTAGATCCAATTCTCTTCAAAAGACCATGAACTAAATAAAAATCTTAAATTCTTTCAACACGAAAGTTCCAAAATTTTGTTCAATTGAAAATGTTGGTCTAGTTGTCAGCGACCCTGACTACTAAACCAGAGGTCGTGGGTTCGATACCCACCCAGGACAAATAAACGCATAATCAGCACGATGATTTGTTCTGTCTGGGTGTAGTTTATCTTTAATATGTATGTATTTAGAAATTTATAAGTATGTTTATCAGCAGTCTGAATACCATAACAGAGGCACTGCCTGATTTTAATTAAAGAAACAAATATTTTGAGTATTGGCAAACTACTACTATGTTGAATATGCTAATAATTATTAATAGTAATTCTTAAGAAATTACCTCAAGTACACTAGTCCCACCAGGCATGTCTTCAGGAATAGATCGCTTGTACATCAGTTGTTGGAACATCGGCGCGTGGTCGTTCACATCTTGAATGTAAATAGTTACAGGCACTGTTGAAGATAGGGGCGGCTCGCCGAAGTCACGAGCGCGAACCTAAGAGGTAAAATTCATTACAACATTGAGTAACAAGGTTCCAAGTACTTTTTAGTAAATTATGGAGCGATAGGGGAGTTGCACTATTCAGATATTTATGTTAAGTTGTAACTAAATAGTTTTACTACACAAACTACATATTTCTATACAGTATAGATAGATAACTCGTTATTGTACAACTAAAACATAACAATAATAAACTTATACAAATGAGACAAAGAAAGTAAAATATAAAAAAGTTGTATCTCACAACATCTCTGTCATCTTAAGGTTGCCTGTAAGAAATCGCAGTGCGAATAGGCCGCCCATTCTACCACTGTTTTTTTGTTTGTATTCTACATTGTATGTACGTTTCCTAACCAAGGTTTGCAAAAAGAGCAAATCTATCTAAATAATTAATTGTGATTTAAAAATTTAAAACCCCTTTTTTTTTAAATACCTTCTAAATTTAATAGTTCCGTTCAGGCGTCACACATTATACTCTTTGTAGTACTGCCAATTATGCCGCTAACAAAAGTAACAAAGTCATTAGCAAAATTGGGTTCATAATCGAATAATCGAAGTAAACTTAAGCGTCAGTAGTATTTCTATTTACTGTTCAGGTATTTCGTTTTTAGATTATGTTCTGTTTTTTGAAACGAATAGTATTTTTCACATATTGTAGGTATTCAATGTAGTCCCAATGTTGACGGCGATGGGCCTTAGGAATTCATAAGAGAATCCAAATGTAAAAAAACAACTTTGAGCTAGGCTAGTAAAATGACTTCCAATTATATGTACTTACGATTAGATGTATAGGCCGTATATTGGTGTTATCTCCAGGTATCTGTTCGAAGTCTAGTCCTTCCTTTGGAGTGATAATACCCAAATTGGGGTCTATTGAGAAATTATTTCTATAGTCACCGCCCACTATTGAGTATTCAATGTGACTGTTTTTAGTACCTGCAGTTTAAAAAAGAATACACATTTAATTTATATGCCATGAGGAACAGTTTAATTACATTGAAGCGACTTTAAGTATAAGGTTCCTTATTTCGAAAATCGTCTAAAATTGAGCCATATGTGATAATTAATTTGTCAATAATGTAATATTTGTTAAAAATATTCACAGATTTTATTCACAGGCAAGATGATCTTTTTTCAATAAACCCACGAATAACTAATAAATATATACAAATCAATGTTTGTTTGTTTGTTGCCGTACTGCTTAATTTTTGGTATAAATAATGTACCATTCAAATCCAAATCTCTGGCTTCAAGTACTAGTGGATTCTCAAATTCTTTTTCATTCTCCAATAATCTCGCTTCATATTTATTTGCGAGGAACATTGGAGCGTTGTCGTTGACATCTTCTATGTTTATGACAAGCTGGGCTGTATTTCTATTGCCTTTGCCTAAGTCATCTCGAGCCTCAACTGTCAAGTAATGGCGGGAAATGAGCTCGCGATCAAAACTGTCTCCACCCGCTTGTTTAACAGTTATTACACCAGATACTGGGTTGAGGTTTAAGCTGAAAAAAAAGGTAATTATATGAATATCTTAAAGGCAGTTAGTAATTTAAATGAAATTTGAATTTTAAATTTACAGTTTTAAGTGAATTAGGTAATTGCAAGATTGTAGTTAAAATATATTTATTTATTACTTTATGCACAAATTACAATTGTAAAATTAACTGAATGCCTCCGGCAAAATATATTTCAAAATAAATAAATATATCTAGTACTGTTAAGGTCATTCAATTCACAAAATAAAAAGAACATAGTACACGGGCATTTGTGAAGACGACGCGGCGACGATAAAGATGATTTCCTTTGCTTCTTTATTTGTACATGAGCAGCTGTTGTACAAATAAAGAGTATTTCACTTCTTCGCAGTATTTGTAGTGTCTATATGTGAGTTGAATACATATAGGTATTTACTACCTCATACAAACGTTATAGAGAATAAAATGTATGTATACTCACAGATTAGCAATGCTTCCTCCAAGACTGGTATACCTAATGCCCCTTGTTCCATAGTTGTCCGAGTCCTGATCTAATGCTTGCACCCAAGCAACAGTTGTACCCACTTTACAATTTTCAGGTATTGATACAGTGTATAAAGATTCAGTGAACTCCGGAAAATTGTCATTTTCATCTCTTATGTGGACCACTATTGGCACTATACTAAAATTAAAATAGCAAATTAAGGTCTATTCTGTTTAAAAAATTCTAATAAACATAAAATGAAGATTATTGTATTAAGAATGTAGAGTTTTATACACTACAGTAAAAAAAAAACATATTTTTAGGAAGTAAGAGGGTCTTAGTTTCGAAATGGAATAAATTGGTACGCATTTTTTATAAGGGGCCATCCATAAATTACGTTACACCAATTTCATAGTTTTTTTTACCCTCACTCCCGCCCTTGTCACAGCTGGTCACATTTGTAAAACTCCCTCCGTCCGTGACGTCCCATGTTTTGAAATTTAACATCTAGAAATTATGAAATTAAAGCAGCAGTACCGAAATTAGTTTTATTTAGATTTAAATTATTATTATTTTAAATCAAAATGATATCAAATGAAATATTTGAAATAATTAACAAAACAAAAGACGATGATTTATATTATTGTTAAGAATTAAAATTGCGCGGTTTAATACTTAAAGATATTAGGATTTGAAATGTGACATCACCCTTGACCCACCTGAAGGCTAATTCTCGCAATAAAAATTAATTCGATCACAATTCAGTTCCGATCTACTCTCGATCTTACAAATGTCATAAAAGGTATTATCGTAGTAAAATATTAAAGCAGCTTACCCATTCAACTTACGGGCACAATATGATATACTTAATCAAATTAAGCTTTAAAAATTATTTTAAACATTCGAGATATTATCATCGTGACAATGATCATGAATGATGGTTTTGGGTAATGAGACACTGCTTGTGAAGAGGTGCACTATAGTGGCACATTATGACATCAATATAGATCTATACTTTTTGTGTTAATTAGGCCATTGATTGCCATGTCCGAATTATTTACATTTCACTTAATTTAATCGATAAATACATATTAAAATACATGTCTACATATTCTGTAAAAATATAGACTGTTACTTTAAAAATATGTAATTTTATTGTAGTTAATATTTTTTATATCCAATACATTAAATTATTTGTTATTATTAAATTAGTCGACGTTGGATGTTTAATACTTTACAACGAAAATAAATACCTTTTATGATATTTGTGAGATCGAGATTAGATCGAAAGTGAATGTTGACCAAATTTTTATTGCGAGACGTGTTACGTAATTAATGGATGGCCCTTAATATTATTATGGATAGGCATAGTGGGATTATATAAAGTAAAAAAATAATTATATAACTTGTTGATTAATTGTATTATTTAAATTAATAAAAATGGATATTTTTTTAGCGCATGATGATGACCCACCTCATTTTAGGATCTTTGGTAACAGTTTCTTTGGCGACTAGAGTGAAATTCATTACAGTGACTTTTTCATAATCCAGAAATAATGCGTCATTGACTCTGATCAGAAACGAAGCCTCGTTGATACCTTTGAATGGCGTTACATCAAACACCCCATGGTCTCCATTTAAGTATAATTCGAAGGTACCATTTTTACCCTGAAAATATATGAAGAGTATTACTGTTGGTTATGTAGGTATATCATATAATTATGTACTAATTATGTAAGATGAGTATGAAATGAGTTCAGAACTACACATAAATAAATATAAATCTATCTTTAGAGCAGTGACTTTATAATACAATGATAAATGTAGAATGTTATTGGACTGGTATTGTCAGTTGAGATGTAACACCTCATATGTGCAAGAATAAAAGATGTTCGAAAGCCACGAACATTATTTAGAAGGGACTTATAATACAACATCCTTTCTTTTTCACTGATTTTAAACTAATATAATGTATGCTTCATCAATAAGAATTAAAATACATATTTAGTTTATAAACTAAATATTTTGTACAAAAATCTTATTTCAAATTTCATTGGCTAAAAATATATTAGTTATGAGGTGACACATCTAGACCAACAATATATAAAGTAACTGTTTTACTGCTAGTCTACTAAATTTCCATGATTCAACATGTTCAACATTCAACATGTTTGCCTGCTACATTATCCCTGTCTACATTAAAATAACTTAGGAATAGCAAAGAATACCAAAATTTATTGTTTCAACAAAAATAATTGCAAATATACAGACAAAAAGTTTGGCCCAGTACTAAAATAGTGATGTATTTATTTCTAATGTTTACCTGATCGTAATCAAATACTTCTGGTATGGCATCCTGCAGGAAGGTAATAGGAGTGTTCTGCTGTGCATTCTCTAGCACTTCACCTACATATCTGTCACTTCTGAATCTAGGTGTTTCATCATTTACATCCGTTACTATAACGGTCACCTCTGTAGTTGCACTGGGCATAGGTGACACTGCATGGGATTCTTCCATGGCCTGTAATTGAAGTTAATTTTTTTATGTAATATTGAGCTTCTTATTTCATTTATATTTGACAAGAATATATTTTTGTGTGTAAGTGGATTGTATATAATGGTATATATACACCACACCTCCACTCATGTAATGTTATAACTTGAGAAATCAAACTTTTTGAGAAAAAGATGTGTTGAAAAACTAAATTATCATCAAGCAAGTTTTGCTGAAAGCTGAAGCAACTTTCTGAAAACAATTTTGCTATTTTTTTTTAACTGTAACCTGTAAAGTGGAGTAAAAAAACACCGGTTGTAACAGTATTTGAGTGAAGACTTGACACAACAAGTTTGTGTGGTGCCTAGAGATCTTTTTCTTTTATTAAAAAAGAAACCTTTATAATAAATGATTTTAAGCTAAGAGGAAGGGTGCTTTTGAAAAATAGTAATACATGAAAGTCTTCTTCCAGCCCAAGATGATAAAAAATTCTAACATACCAGTATTTCCAAAATATAAGCTCCATTGCTGTTATTAGGGTCTTCCCTATCAAGCTGATTGATTGTGTATACAACTCCAGAACTGCTATCAATATCAAAGTGCTCCTCTCCACCTGATATGATGCTATATGAGATGCGATTGTTGATTCCACGGTCGCCATCAATTGCACGCACTGTAAATTAAAACAAACATTTCAAGAATACATATATAGTAGCTTAATGAACACTACTAATAGGAAAATTGTACAGTATAGGTGTTTTAAAAATTAGTAAACAATTTTTTTTACTGTTACTTTTTATTACAAAGAATTATTTATAAAGGTACTATAGTATAAAATAATAGCAAGATTGTGTTCAAGTGGGATTTTAGGTATTTGAACTATTTCAGTAGTCACTTCATGTTTAAAAAATGAGAGAAGACATATTTTAAGTTAGTAAGATTTCAAACACCACATGAAAATTTTACTATGTTTTTTTTTAAGGAAGTATAGCATAGATGAATATAGAACACAAAAAGAATGACTGCTTAGTACTCATTTAGAGGTGTAGCTGTTGTCATGGGCAGATATGTATACCTACCTATCTAGAATTATAATAACATACGAATTTAATATTTAATTTATCTATTTAGCAATACTGAAAAAATATAGTTCACTTGACGTTTCTATACCTTGTAAGACAGAGGTTCCAACAGGAGCATCTTCACTTATTCTCGTAACAGGACTTGCAACTACGAATTCCGGCGGCTGATCCTCGACATCTAGCACCTTCACCAGTATAGCGGCCGTTCCCGTATTCACTCTACCTTGATTAGCTCGGTCCACGGCCAGAACTCGCAGTTGATATAAAGATTTGCGTTCGTAATCTAAACGATTTGTTAATCTGACCACTCCTTTTCCATTCACAGTTTGTACACCAAAGTTTTCCACGTCTCCATCTAATTCTTGTAAGTGATACACCACCTGAAATGTTTTTGTTAATGATAAAGTGGATGATTGTTTTGAACTTTTGACGTTTGGTTCAATAACTGCAAGTGCATTTTTTTTTTTGTATTTTTATGGCTTGGTAACAAGACCTTTAAGCCAAAACTGCAAGTGCACAGTCAACAACAGAGTTGCCAACTCTTAGATGCGATTTTCCAATGGAATACATTCTTGACCCATTCCCAAAAATGGTATTTACAAGATATTTATAGTATACATTTATAGTATAGATAAGGTCATAAGTTATTTTAGAGATATGTACATTTAGCCATATTTATAAGTATTTATACTTCATTAATAGACCTCCCAAATTTATTCTGATTCCTTTATTTTTTCTACAAGTAAAAGCCTCCAAACCCAAAATGTTGACCGTACTAAAATATTATACAGTAAAACGGCTGGCTGACAGCAAGATTTAGAATTTTTTCGTAACGATATTGTGGTTTAGGGACCCTTTCGTAAAGCTAAAGTGAGAAAAAAATTAATTAAAACTGAACAAATACAAAACGGCGTAAAGGGTCTATCGATCCCCCATCCCGTAAAAAAAGTCTCGTTACACATTTTTTTGTCTTGCTCCCAGCCGCTCAGAGCATTCTGCGTGGAACTTCGTTCCAAAAAGCAAACATTAAACATACTTGTCCATACGCTCCTTCATCAAGATCTGTAGCTTCTACAGTTGTTAAGATATTAGGCGGCGAATCTTCCTTTACTGTGATCACAGAGGGATACGGCTTAAAAATAGGCTCGTTGTCGTTCACATCTTCAACCAACAACAAAAAGCTCTGGGTAATAAAGTTTCCTTCTCCTAGATTTCCATCAGTTAGTGTTAATACGAACGAGTATTCATCACGGGTCTGAAATTTTATTCGTTTTAATATCAAATTCACATAAAATATTTTAATCATAGCCGGGAATTGACAAATTATCATTCAGAGTAAATAAAATCTTTTTTTTTATAATGGTCTGATGCCTTACTTTCTTAAGAAGATATAAAAGTAATAATATGCTCTGATAATATTAGGACAAAGATGACAAGTAATAAGTTTAAAAAAAATGCAAAATGCGTAAATATTATTGTGGTATTATAAAATCGTCCATTTAAACACTTACTTCTCTATCTAATTCCTTAACTAAATAAATATTAGCTTCGTTGGATGAAATGGCTTCTAATCTTAATATATCACTGCCAAGTTGGTCTCTAATGCCAAATTGTAATGTATCTCCATCGGGGTCAACGCCCCTCAGCCGGTATATTAAGCTACCTGAAATTAAAATAACGGTAGCATTATGAAATTAAATGAACACTCGCATTTGTTAACTACGTTGATGTACAAAATATTGTCAGAAACTGGCGCCGGAGTTTTTTAGAACACCTAAAATGTCACTGGTGCTAGGCCCACACAGCTTCATATTTCAATGAAAAATGTGAATGTGTTGCAATAAATTACCCTGTCACTGCCGTTGTTTCTAGCTCTATAAAAGAGTTACAACATTCGTTTACTATTAGACAGACAACATCATAAACTCCGGTCTCATTTGTGAATACAAAACATTTGAGCGTTGAGCTTCAGCTAATGGAGTATTCCTGTAATGGATGAATGGCATATCTACTCCCTCAAAAACGATGCCATCAATGAGCTGGCACAAAAGGATCATGCAACATTAGCAAATTGATTTTAATCAATTTTATTTAGGGATGGAAAATGGTTGGTCACAACGACTGCTGGCAGTCTCAAGTCTCTCGTTTTAATTGCGATTTGTGCAGTCCTAACCAATTTCATATTAGGATACTTGTATGAACCATTACGCCTGGCCCTAACTACACTTATTTATCGTCATTCTGTGGTACAACCGGATTTAGCATTATTTCTGTCTGGCAGTCGCCTATGTGATTTTGAAGTACGAGCGAGTTGGCACACAGCCGATAAGTCATTAAAGCCCAAGACGTTTTGATTGTACCAGGAAACTTCTAAATTTATAGAGGGAGCAACTAGTCCATCTTATATAAACACCAATGAAAGTCATGACTCAAGCGGAATCAGAACCACAGCATAGCATACTTATGTATTATAAATCTGAATGGCTTAAATTACTGATAGGTATATAATGACTCCAAGAGTTTAGGTATCTCATACTTTTATACGTGGAGCACATTAAGAGTCTCTGGATCTGGCCAGTTACAATAAAAGAATGAAAAAACAATTATGGAATTCGAAAATGGAACTCTTTGGGAACATGTTACTTTTTAATTTGTGAGACTGTAATTTGGTTTTTCATTGTGACGTCCTTTCGAAAATTGTGTGTCGCTTTAAAATGAATTTAACTAATGAACATTATCGTTTAATGATTTTTATGATTTTAGTTACGGCTTAAGTCAATAGGGAATATGCACGTGACACCAAAATGGACAAAATATTTTTATTTGTAATTTTTATTGCTAAAAAAAGATACCCACACAATTATTTTGGAAATTTATTATGATTTAATAGTGAAATTTAATCATCAAAAACTAGCTTTTTTAAGATTCCCTCGCAAATTTCTAAAACGCAACGCTATTGGTTGAATAAAACGTGACGTCAACCTACACTGTCAAGAGTGTCAACAAGTTGTGTGTAATTGTAATATTTGGTTTCTGGTGATTATTTATTTCATTTTAAGTTAATAACTAAAACGTTTTCAGTGTTAAATTATTAAATTCCCGTGTAGAAAGACTCAACACAATGACTGAATATACGTTGTCAGGTGCAGTTTTGATATTATTTGGGCACAAAGGAACGGCACAATATTTCTAATAAGTTTTTATTGGCTTTTCCATGGTAATAAGTTAATTTTTATCACTCACTTTTTTAACTTTCACAAAATTTGTGAACTTCACTCCGTTGTTGACATCGAATTCTTCTGAAAGTGTAATCTGACGTCACAAAAAAAGCGCGCCAAAATGGACGTGTTCAAATTGCCCCAAAATGATAGTGATTTTAATAAAAAAATTTTTGCTTAACGGTTTATATTTCGGATGTGTTATATTTATTTTTGGTAATGTAATAACTAGTAGAATCGTTTAAAAAAATAAAAAAAATACATGCATATTCCCTATAAGAGAGTTGTCAGAGACTTCAATTGGCATTTGGTGATGAAGATCATCTCCATGACGAGGTACGTGAAGGTCGGCCATCGATTGCGGTTACAGACTAATATTAACACCGTACGACAACTTATTGAAAATTACTTGCCAGCATATTCGTGATTTATTAGGCATTGGAATCAGCCCAGTGCAAAACATTTTACATGTGCATCTGAAGGTAAGGAAGCTTTGCATTCGATGGATACCGCATGACTTAACGGAGGACCAGAAACGTCTGCGTGTCCAGTGGTGTCGTAAAATGATGAAAAAGTTTAATGGAGGACAGTTATTGGCTGTCTATGATATCGTGACAGGTGAAGAAACCTGAGTGTACTGCTTTTAACCCGAAAGAAAACAGTCAGCAGAGTGGGTCTTTCCTTTTAAAGATTTGCCGACGAAAGTTAAGAAAAGTCGAACCTTTGGTAAAAAATTGGTTTCTTCTTTTTTTAAAGCAAATCAAGACATTAAACTACAGTATTGCGTGAATATTAAAGGACAGTGACTGCAGATTGGTACGTCAACACTTGCTTGCCCAGAGCCTATTTGAATCCTTCAAATGTGGAAATGATGACGCATCTGCCTCACAGCCCGGACCTCACACCCTGCGAGTTCTTTTTGTTTCCAAAAAAAAAAAAAATGAAAGGCAAACTTAGGGGCACACGTTTTAGGAACCCTGAATCAGCGGTGAATGCGTTCCATGAAGCCATTGAAGAGGTCCCTAAGGAAGACTGGTGAAACTGCTTTGTACAGTGATTTCAGCGAATACAAAAAAGACATACAGTGGAACATAGAACCTCCTCCTTTTTTGAAGTCGGTTAAAAATGCATTAATTGCGAAGGAATATACTTTGAAAAGCAATAAATGTATCATAATTCAACTTCAACAACAAAAACTTTTAGTATGCCCTAAGTAATATCAGATCCAAATTACAGTCAGGTGCCATACGGAATTATAAAGACGACTATTCTTTAGTTAGTATACTCGTAGATGTCAAGTACTTCCAACTTAAATTACTTAGTCATTTTATCATCCATAGAATACTTATATTTTCTATATCCCATTTAATATTGTAAAAAAATGTTAAAAGCTTTGGATTCGCTTGACGCTCTTATGAATTACAGCTTTAATTACAAAAAAATATAAAAAGCGTTTTGGCAACTCTTTTACTTGAGGAAAACAGCCCACTAATTTGGTAAAAAAAACTCCAGATACCTACCTAAAATGAGATATAAGTAAATTCAATAAAGCTTACAGTACACTATACAAGTAGTATTGTATAATATAGAAATGCTATAAATAGAGAAATGAGACGAAATGCATGTCTAATATTCGTCACGCAGTTGACTAGGTACGTAACGCTACCATCACGTATTTTAATGCATTTCATGCTTTAGTAACTGCTTGTTGACTAATCGTTGCGTAACAACGGCTCCACAACTGACAGTGTAGGGTAGGAAACATTGGTAAGGCTTCCCTGTGTTTGTATCAGTTGTCATGGTAACCCCACTTTCCTGTTTCCTAGTATGAATAATTTCCGGCTGTCAGTGCAAGCAAATGGTAATGTTCAAACTTTGAAATTTACTTTAGGGTTAAGCTGTTGGATGTTCGTGCATCAGTTTTATGAGGTAGGGTGCGATAATAACGGATAATTTTGTACATGAACAGGTGTTCAATATTGATAACATGTTTAATGAGTGTATGTCGTTAGCAAATATGCTTAAAAGAAGCTTTCTAGTTTCCACCATTAAAGTTTTCGTTGAAAATTATACCACCCATCCTTGATTATATACGTATTACTCTTGAAATTTTGAAAATATAGTGTGTTTCAGAATTTAAAGATCCATGTCTTATGATTATCAATTCATAATCTATCGAAATTTCAACAAAGCTAAATCAACGAAGTAAATAAAACATACACATACACCAAAATAAATATAAAAACTTCGAAACGATTTGTGTGATAGTGTATTGTAGTGTCTTTAGTCATTGAAATATTACACGAAAGTAACACGAAAGCTGGCATATTCTACAAAATAAAATAGTGATCGATAACATTTAGATGAACACAGAAATAGAAATTTTATATAGAATAATTATTGTATATAATATAAAATCTAACCTATCTTATGGGTATTAGCATAATTAAATTTACACCACTAAGGATAACACAGGTTAGAATTAAAGATAGAAATAGATTCTTATACATTGGTTGGTTGGTAAAAAATGGATTATAACCGCAAATGCTTTGGCGTTGACGTGGCAAAATGATTAAGCCAAAGAATTTCCTGTAAATAATGAATTCGTACCTATTTATTTAAATATAAATAAAAAAAACATACCGACTGGAGTGTCGGGTCCTTCTTTTAACCTCACTACAATCTCAGACTGACCATCTATGAGAAACCTCGGCGGTCTGTTGGCGACCACAACTTCTAATATTATGAGTAGCAGCCAAAACCTTCTGATACATTTGTACTGCACCGGCTTTAACCGGACTCGCGGCGGCAGAGTAACCCTCGCATGCATTGTTCTCAATCATCTGACACATCTGGCCTTATGGCTGGCTGGTGGTGAGACCATTTTCTCACTTCGCACGGTTTCACCGTGGGACTTGTGCGCTATCGGTGAAAGTGTCACCTCGACTTTGCGATTGAACTTCTCTACGTGACTTCGCGTCAACCTGCAAGTAAAACAAGTGTTACAGAATCTAATGAAAGGTGATAACTCAAACTTTGTTAAAAGAGTGTGGGGCAAAAGAATGTTATCCTGTTTGTAGATTTCGCTGTGATAAATTGCGATGAAATGTGAATGTAATTATTTCACCAGCTTCAGTATTTTACGTACTTATGGGAAAGTCCGTAAACACACCAACAAACTGATTTATATGACAACAGTGTTATTGAGAGGGAATTTAAGAAATGATTAACAGTTACAGCATTTAGTGTGTCCAGCCAATCGTTTCTTTAATAAAATAACAGTTTCTCAACATTTTTTTGTAGTATTGCCATTGCAGTAAAGAATGTAATTTCTAAAATGACAAAAAAATGTTGCGAAATTTTAGCTTGTGTGACTGTCAATGTCTTATTATATCCCTATGCATCATAAATTGATTTATATATGAATTTCACGTCTTAATTCTCTTCAGAGTAGTAGTTAGTAGAGTAGTTTGCCCTCTTAAAGTGCCTTTAAACTAGTATAAAACTTTATACAATATCCATGAACGTTTAAAAAAAATTTGATGGAACTCTCGCTAATACAAAACTGAGGCACCATAATGGCGACAGCTCTGTGTGTGTGAATGAATTTTAGGGCTGCCAAGTTACCCAAATTTATGCCCTAAAAACATTGTCAATAAAAAAAAAAATATTTGTTCGAAATGTTCTAAATGCTAAGCCGTTTTTTCTAATTTCGAGATGAAACCGAATCGTTAAATATTTTTCTGCTACATATCTCATAAGACTTATTTTGTGTTCTATTCCGACCAAATTATGTTCAGATTCTAAGTTTAAAAAATGCTTTAATTGCCAACAAACTTTTCTAGAATTTTTGTGAGAATATATTTGTGTAGTCTTTTTTTTTCACTATTACAATTTCTAATTATTTGAATCCAATCATTTCTCCATACTCCATTTTCCTTAGAATATTTAGTTAAAGAATAGAAATTATAGCATAGTAAATTTATGAGAGCAGTAAAAAGAAAGACATAAAACAAAATTGAATTAATATGTTGCCAAATTTAAAAATGCAAATTTAAATATGACTGCACGGATGGCGTAGTATTTTAAGAGTTCACCTCCCCGTTTCCTATTGCAATTAATGTTGTGGGTTCAATCCCACAAGGGACAACATTTTGTGTGATCCACAAATTGTTGTTCTGAGTCTAGGTGTTCTTTGTGTCCGTTCGTTTCATTAATGTTTGTAAAGTCGCCCGCGACAGGGGAAATATTCCCGTACGTCGGGGTACCAGGGGTCTACTTTCTAGGGTATACTTGGTTCCCCGCTACTGGTACCTGGAGACGGCGTGCGGTTTTTGATCGGTTCGAGTCCGATATAATCACCCACTGGTGGGTGGCATCCGAGGGCAGTTCCACACCGCAAAGAAAGGGGAAATATTCCCAGTGCAGGAATTCCAAGTAGTCATTAAAAAATTAAAAATATTTTTATTTTTAATTTGTAGTTGGATTGTCATGTCGAAATGGCCACATATATAATTGTAGAATAATTTGGCTCATTTAGTTGTACGAGTATTCAGTGTTTCTTTGACCACGTTGTTTTGACGTATACACAGCTAATATCCTTATTGGCCTATTATGAGGTTAAGGCTACCGATGACAACAAAAACGTACTTTAAATCCATCAATTCGTATTTTAAGTTGAGTTTTGCCTCTACTCTCCTAAAAATGACGAATGAAAAGATCTAAAAATTCGTTTCTGGACACGGTCGCTAGGAGGGAATCAAGTCCGTCTGTCACGACTGCGATTGCAGTGAGAACTCGGCTCAGCACAATTTGCCCGGCTTTGGCGCCGTAGTGCAATGTCCTCATTGCAGTCGTCGGGGGGATTTCTCGCTATCGGTCGTCATACGCTCCGTGGCCAGTAGTGACATATGTTTCACCGCGATCGCATCCTTCTACAAAGAAGAAGGCGGCGGAGAGGGCCCGGGAGGACAGCTTCCACTCGAACCCAATTCGTCGCCGGATCTGGGCGGCGGAGTAGCGCTTACCACCGCCTCATGCCGCCCTGAGTGTGGCCACGGGTAGACGGGACGAGTTTTCCCCTCCACCCGTCATAACGGCCAGCCGCAAGGAGGCTACATCCGCGTGTGCTGGACGTCGCCTAAACAGAGAATGTACTCGAAGGGGGTGGCCGCGATGTTGCAGTTAGGCGTTAGGAGGGGTCCGGATGACAGGAACAGCAGTTCCCGGATCCCTCCTATTACAGGCGCAGAATGGCACACTGTGTGGTTTTAGTCGGTCTGATTCCGACACACCACCCCGCCGCAAACCCCGGTGGGGTGACGGCCCACGGAAAAATAAAAGTTAACCGATTTGCACGTCCTTACCAATCCTCAAAGTCGTTTCCTTAATTTCTACTTTTAATTTCAGCCCTTAGTGTGTTACTTTACAGTTCCTTTGATGATGAAGTTGCTTTCATTAATGAGCGGGTGCTTCTCCTTCAAAGTCTTTGCAAATAGCACTCGAGAAGACAGACATTACCCCTTAATAGGGGGTTATCTGTGGCTACAGCAAAGTTATTGCCAAAAATGCTTCGACGTTTTACTTACTAAAAAAAATTACAATTAAACTTCTACTACAATAATCCTTGTGTATATTCATGATAATGGCAATAATTTTCTAGATCTGATCGATGACTATTAAACCAAAACGTCTCAAAAACGTTTAGACTGCGTCTAAATGCGTGCGTCTAAACGTTTAAATATCTAAGGTTCTTTATCGATTAGATTAACTCAACTCATTAGCTTCCCTAAAACCGAAACCCCCAAACAGTAATCTACTCCAGTCGAGTCTGTTCTCTCATGACAATTTTTCTTATCGCATATTTGATAACTTAAATTTTTATTCAACTCAAGATTTGAGTGGAAAAACACACAATTTATTGAGCTATCTTTTCTGCATAGTTATTAAATAGTTTACCTTTGCCAGTTAATAAAGCTAAAACCAAACTGGTACACATAAAGTGTATAAACAAATTACTTAGCAATTTTTTTCTATCGTGATAATCCAATCACAACAAAACTTTTTCTTTCACAACGATGCTTGATTCCAAGTGTCAGTGGGTTATCACTCCGTGTATCTTAGTACGGGAATTAGCGCGTGGCGACGTTGAGCATTTGCTAACTAGCCGCATCTCATTGTCTTCAAGTGCCAGAGCAATGCTTCTGTTTGCACATAATCTTGCTTAACTAATGAGAAAAATCTACTTTCGATGTATAACTTTAGAGCTGGATATTGCTGATGCTGAAGGTCATGTCTTTTTCGACCACTTTAAAACATTAAATGTCCCAATAATGTCAAGTGTTTTCAATGAGAATTAGGACGGTTATAAATATCGCAATTTTTCATAACTAAAAACTGTTAGCACAGCTATATTGGCAACTTTGTGCAATCGCCGAGCAGGTGCTCTCTTAATTTCGGGTATGTTTTGAAAAAACTAATCCGGTTGAAACCAGGTTGTCTTATTGTATTAAACTGACAGTCTCGTATTTATTGAATACGGTCATACTCGATTTTGGTTTGAGGAACCTGGTGGAGCGAATGTTATGCTACTAGATACCGAATATGGTCTCTGTTTTATTTATCTTAAAGCGGCGTACTTAACTATACTAGCACTGCTCTCTAACTTCTGTAGAACTGATGCTCTGTATGACTTATGTCCTGACTCATGTGTATTTGTCCAGGCCAAGATTAATTTCTAAAACACCAGTGCTCCGAGAGAAGCATCGTACCTGTTTAAAATTTACTTTTAAAATTTTAGTTTTTATATCTTGATTGGCCTGTGGGTCTAGTGTTCGTGACTTGATCTTGACTGCTAAGCTAGAGCTACTAACTGCTAATCAAACCCATGACGGGTTTGATTCCCACCCAACCATAATTTTTTCTGTGTCTTATCTATAATATATGTATTTGATTATTAAAAATAAAAGTAAGTAAATATGCCTATTAGCAGTTTCGATACCACAGTACAGGCTCTGCCTAGTTGTATAACACACGGCTGTCTGACCGTGTGTACACACGGAGGTCTGATTAAGAGATGAAAAATACAGATAAATAAAATTTATCACGGTTTACGATTTAAAGAAGGTGATGCTTTTTTTAAAGTTAATTATTATAGCTATGACATAAGAAGTAAGACGCGAAGTACTTATTTGTCATCAAAGATTCCTTATGTCACATGTTCATGCACATAAACTTTCATCCAATCAAAAATAACTTATGTAACACTAATTTGCCCACCCTAAAGTGTGCACCAATGTTACATATTTCTCTTATTGTAGTGTAACAACTATTGTCCTCGGTTATTAACCATCCACCAAATAATATAGTGATTAGTAGTGAAGATGTTACCACATCACGATATAATGAGAGCACTCATAAAATGGGGGGTTATTCACACGCATCGTGTTTGCGAAACAATTACGTAAAAAACAATAAAAATTTGACCTCGTCACCGGCGCCGGATGGTAACGTATGATAGGTGTCGTTGACGTATTTCGGTGGTAAAACCGGCGTGCCGTCAAACCGGCGCTGGTTGAAACAAAAGGGGCAGTGAGCGCGACGGGTACGAAGGCCAATAACTATTGTATGGCGATGGTACAGTACCATCGGGGACTGACCTTTACAAACACATCAAAACGATTGATGAACCTTTAGTGCACTTTAAACACCAGTTTAATAAAAACAAGTAATTGATTGTCCGGAGTTATTCACGCTTAATTTTTATGACTATTTTTATGATTTGTGGTATGCTTATTGTGTAAATACGTGGACATAACAGTAAAGCAACTA